AATAGTTATTCAAATCACTGTTGAAGAAGCTACTGTGTTAGCGAAACATATCGTGATATATTTTTCAAATAAAGTTTGTGAAGATGAAATCGTGAGGTATGGTTTATGGAATTACTTAGAAAATTTTTTTTTTAATTTTTCAAACTCAGTAAATGGACATTTAATGAACTAATTTCTACATCAGAAAAAAGATTTTATGAAGGGGAAGTATTCAATTCTATTTATTCATTCAATAAATTTTTTAAATCTATGAATCCATCAATTTACGAGCATTCCAAAAAAACTGACTTTCAAACAATTCTTTTCCAAATGTAACACGTCATCGTCGTGGTTGAACTCACTATGTACCAAAATATGACTTGCAAATGAAGAATTGGAAAAATTCAAGAAACTATTCCTATGCTCTTTTATTATTTTGGAAAAAGTAGTCCCCGTTTGGCCAATATTAATGAAAAAAGGTAAAGTTAAACTAAATCTCCATATACCTACGTTCGCGAGATTTTTCAAAAAGCAATTCATCCATATTTAGATATGTGACTCTCTAATTCTCCATCTTCATACAAAAAAATGTGGGAATTTTCCAAAGAAAGGGAGAAGGTAATCAATTTCAAAATTAACGTTTTACAAAGATATGTAGATCATTTGAAGAGGTCACTTTTAGACACAAACTGGAAGTAAGAAGCTGAAAGCTTTCTTTCCCAAAATCTAATCTCTTCTAAAAATATACCCCTTACAATTTGAATACTTTTCCAGTAATTGAAAACAAAAATAAATCCTTTGGATCACTTTCAATCCAAATCATCTGAAGGAACAATTTCTTCAGGCCAGTCCCAACTCCCTATACTGTAAATTATTGAAAACCTATCAGAAAACAACTACTCCCCTGGCTAATACCACGAAAGGCTTTGGATTATATCCTAGGAGTAGTTATTTTCTGATAGGTGTCACAGTCCATTAACCTACAGTGTAGGAAGTTGAGACTGGCCTAAACGAATTGTTCTTTTAGATGATTTGATTTATAGCCAGTCTTCAAGTATGCCCACTGACTATATGTGAAAAATTTTCAATTCGACTTTGAATCAAAAGCGATGCTTTAGCTTGAAAAATGTAGTAAGTAAATTGAAAAACAATCTCAAAAAATTATAAAATCAACATTACCAAACATGAACGTTCTCCCTTGCTAAATTTTCCCCGCTGTCTCCATTATCTTCTTTCGAAACATTGATGAAATCTTCGATAAGGATTTTTTGTCGTTTCTGATAGAAAATCTTGATGACTCAACATACCTGTGCATATCAACTGCAATGGAAGCGAGAGGAATTGTCGACGAAAACAAGAGCTATGCATCTATATCTGGAAATTGACTGTGAGATAACTCCAGATAAAAATGTATTGTCTCTGGTATATAACAGGGTGCAAAAATGGATTGATTCAGTTCATCGAGGCGAATAACAACTGCTGAATTTATGCAATATGAATACTTGTGTAGTTTTTTTGGTGATTATCGGATTATCTGGGAGTAAGTGCGAGAAAGTGAAATTGTATTTGAATTGACCAGCAAACTATTTCGAGAACAATTTTTCTTCACGAGGCAATAATTTTGAAATATTCGTGTTCGTTGTCGGGTTTCCAAATTTGAAAAATAGCCCCTTGTGAGATCAATTGAAAGTGCTGCGGAAATAAGTTCTTCAAAACATATATGTATTGGGGGGGGGGGTTAGTATCTTGGTTCGATGTATAAGAAACAGTAAGAAATATTTTTCTGTCCAGAACAGTTCAAATATATTTTGTTATATAACCATCATGTACAGGGCTATTCAAATTCGTTTCTATACATGGGGATCTCGTAAACGATGAGAGATACAGTGTAAGTTAAATTATGGCAAAGTTGCGTATTTTAAAGACCTATTCAATAATGTATTTTAATCTTCCTCTTTGAAGATGATCACTTGGTGATTGAAACACGTGTCGAGGTGTTAAAAATAACGATTTGGTGTTGGGAAAAAACTCCAGTAATATTCTTTACTACAACAAAGGTTCCAAACAGTGCATCATAAGAAAACAATAGCACTTTATTCTAACCCAGTTATTATCCACCATATATTAGGTGGTCTGAAAAGTCCAGAAGCTAACACACAGATGGCGCTTGTGGTGTTGAATCCACATGATTTTTAGTCAAACCTAACCTTCAAAAGACACGTGTACAAATTTCACAGCTGTCGGATTATTAGTTTGTGAGATATAACATTTCGAGTGAACCAACTTTTCTTAGTTTGAAGAAAATGAATCTATTTTCAATATTTCTGCAAGTAAAAAAAATTCGAAATTTCTGGTTTCTCTCGTATATCTCCGGAACTAGAAAAACTATAGTCGATTCTTTGGTAGCATTCAATTGTACTCGAAAATAAGCTACTTTGCTACAATTTAACCTACTTTATATGTCTCACAATTGACTCGATCCCCATGCTTAGCCTTGAATTAGAATAGCGTTCAATTTAACCTCAAAAAACTCACTTCATTATTTCAAGATTATATTCCAAAGTTAAATGCTGACTTATCAGTTGGAAAACTCCATATCACAGAACACAGAATGAAATATATTAGATTTCACATTCGAAATTTTTCAGGTTTGGTTGAAGAGCCACAAACACTTTCTGTAGTAAAACAGGTTTATCGAACAAGCAAAAATGAAAGCACAATGAAAAATATGCCTCCTTTGGGTCGCTTCAAGTATAGTGAAGAATTTTCTGTCAGGAAGTTACTCTCAATGTTAATAATGATGTTAGTTTAGATATTTGTGAAGGATCTTACATGCGAATTTTGTTTTTTTCTGGAAATAAGGACTGATTTACTTACATGCCATTCTGTTGCCAATCGTATTATAAAATATCAACATTTGCTCCTTTCCACAGGTTTTGGTGTGAGATGTCCAACTTGCAGAGGTGATGGATGTAAGAAAGAAGAAATACCATTTCAAGAATGTACCTCTAACATTCCATCATTACCCTTTGGCACGGGTGACATGGGTATTCCCAAACCATTAGAGCCTCAACATTTCGGATGTTTATATTTGGAATATCTTAGTAATGGTTAGTATTCCTATTATATCATGTACTCATAAACATGCGTGAGTTATCATCACCAATATTATAGATGATAATTCTTTCTGGAAAAATATTTCAGTACTGATATCCTTCATATGCTTTACATGAATGTATCAAAACAAATACATGAATATTGGTTACAATGAACTGACAAGTACGATTCTTTTTTAGGAAAAATTACAGACATTCGCCAATGTGTTGCACTGAAGGAGAACCAGAACCTCTGCACCGACATTAAGAAAGATGTGATTGTTTACACGTGTACTACGGAAAACATATCGAAACTTCATATTCGTAGAATGCGACATTCTGTGGGCACTATTACATCAGAACTTGATAGCTCCAACTCTTCAGATACAACATACCCAATCGGCAAACCCCGATCATCTCTGAACGACAAACTCACATTATCCTCAAGTGACGAAGCCGCATCAACCCCAGCCGAAAAAACTACTAATTCCACAAGTGAAAATTTCTCAACTGTCGAACCCTCAGATTCTGCAACCGACGAATCCACAGATTTATCAACTGACAAACCAACAGATTCACCAAGTGATAAACCCCCAACCAACAAACCGACGAATTCGCCGACAGTTAAACCTACAGATTCTCCAACTGAAAAACCTCCAACAGACAATCCCACAGATTCCACAACTGAAAACCTCACCACCACCAAACCCACAAATTCACCGACCGACAAACCCACGAATCCTCCAACTGATAAACCTCCAACCAAAAAACCCACAGATTCACCAACCGATAAACCCACAAATTCTCCAACTGATAAACCATCAACAGTTAAACCTACAGATTTTCCAACTGAAAAACCTCCAACAGACAAACCCACAGATTCCACAACCGAAAACCTCACCACCACCAAACCCACAAATTCACCGACCGACAAACCCACTAATTCTCCGACTGAAAAACCTCCAACAGACAAACCCACAGATTCCACAACCGAAAACCCCCCAACCACCAAATCCACAAATTCACCGACCGACAAACCTACGAATCCTCCAACTGATAAACCTTCAACCAAAAAACCCACAGATTCACCAACCGATAAACCCACAAATTCCCCGACTGATAAACCACCAACAATTAAACCTACAGATTCTCCAACTGAAAAACCTCCAACAGACAAACCTACAGATTCCACAACCAAAAACCCACCAATCACTAAATCCACAAATTCACCAACCGACAAACCCACGAATTCTCCAACTGATAAACCTTCAACCAACAAACCCACAGATTCACCAACCGATAAACCCACAAATACCCCAACTGATAAACCACCAACAATTAAACCTACAGATTCTCCAACTGAAAAACCTCCAACAGACAAACCTACAGATTCCACAACCGAAAACCCACCAATAACCAAACCCACAAGTTCACCGACCGACAAAACCACGAATTCTCCAACTGAAAAACCTCCAACAGACAAATCCACAGATTCCACAACCGAAAACCCCCCAAACACCAAATCCACAAATTCACCGACCGACAAACCCACTAATTCTCCGACTGAAAAACCTCCAACAGACAAACCCACAGATTCCCCAACCGAGAAACCTCCAACTTCCACAAATGAACCTTCGTCCGGTGATGCAATTTTGGTAGGATTGAACTCCTTCACTTTCGTATCGATGATTATAACAATCCTTTTTTTCCAATGAATAGGAAAATTTTATAAATTCCAAGGCTGAAGGAGGTTCTGAAGGAAAGAAGAATCCAAGTTATTACTATATATCTTTGTCCAGAGAAAAATGAATAGTATCATCATCAGTGTCACCCGAATTATAGAGATAGAGAGTTTAAACTGTAAATAATCAGCTTTAATTTTGATCATTATCTTTGAATATGTATATACATTTTGAACACGATTGTTTTAGTATCAGCAAAATGAAGATACGAGAAGAAAATATTTAGAAATTTATTAATTATTAGTCTTTCATAGACAAGATAGTACTATTGAATATAGCAAATTCCTGTGAGTAGAAATAATTGATTTGTTCTTTTCTTTTGTATATTTTTGTAATAACTTAAGTGTTACAGATTATATCATAGATTTTCAGTACTAATTTCTAGTAAATACTTTGTGATAAACATGTTCAGTATCATTTTTACTGGTTGACATACTCACTAGAGAAAAGTAGTGATGATAACTCCCCACGAAGGCGCCATCTATGGGATCGACGGAAAACTCTGACCTTCACGAATGACGCGTGTAACTGATGAAGTTACTGTATAGCGAAACGCGGCTTTATCAAAGTTGACCACGTGAAAATTATTTTAGTATCACGGAGAGTGTTAATAATTTTCTTAGGTAACGAGCCACTGTTCAATTATTTATTAATGGTTCATCAACTTTGTGTTTATCTTTATTTGCTCAACAAGTTATTCAATGTATGTTTTATCTGATAGTTATTCGTAAATTCACAGAATGTTTGACTAGTACTCACATATTCACATCACTTGAACCACTATCTCTACATCTGGTTTCGAATATTAA